TGTGTGACTTTCTAATGAATTCCTAATGAAAGGGACTATCGTTATAAGTGTTTCGAAAATGGTGGTTCCATTTAAAAAAATGGAGGTGACCTTAATATCTTTAAAAAAAATGACATAAAAACAAAAATATTTTTAGCATCGTGTGAGCCCCATTGAACCATTTAACTTTATCCTTACAACATTTGACGTATCTTTAAAAACAGCAAAGATATTTGAGGTACAAACGTTAGGTGACTCACTGTATATATATTTCTTTTCTCTCTTTCAGATCAACAGATGTTTCGCGGCTTCCAGCTGCAGCAACAACAACAACAACAAATGCAGCAACTGAGGGAGAAGCTCCTCCCTCAGCAGCAACAAATTCACCAACCGAGGGAGGACCCCCTCCCTCAGGAGCAAGACATGACTACTAAAATAAAAAATGATGAGGCGAAGCGACCGCGAAGTATGTATCATTTATAGTATGAATTATTGCCTCGTACAGAGGAATACAATATTGCCCTTATCAGAACATCTCTATTGTTCAATATAAGGGCAAATATTTCTAATAATAATTTAAAGAATACATATCTAATAATTTCAATTTTACATTACAGAGAGAGGAGCAGCGGTTGGCGTCACGCGGCGCCTGAGGAGATAACGTTGGGGAAGGAGATCAGTGGGAAGGGGAAGGGGGGTAATGGATCGGGTCGCGCGAATGTAGTACATTCAAGTTTCTACAATTAAAGTCATTTTAAAAAAAAGTATTCCTTGTTCCTCTTTTTTATTAATCACCTGTATTTCATCCTTACTTAACCATTAAGAACGGAAAACCACCTTACGGTATCCTACAAATACTGTTCGTTCCACTAACTCCACTAAAAAGGGGGAAATAAAATAATTTCTAACAAAACAACAAATCCGACTTCGAAATGCACTAAAAAGTGTAAAATAATTTCTATTTCATTTATACCAGTATTCCACAGCTATTAATATAATTTCTATTTCATTAATACCAGTAATCCACAGCTATTAATAAAATCTACTTAATCGTTAAGTAGGATACTAAATACATTTCAACCTTTTCGGAGGCGGCGCAAAATTAAAAATACCCGAAAATATGATCCTGCCAATAACGATTTAATTGCGGTATGGCAATCTTGGTAATTAATAAGTCGTAAGAAAACAAATTCGAAACGTTATAGATACGGCTGAAAACATTTGTAATTGTAACGATTGTACCAGAAGTTGGTAGCGCTTCTGATGTACATGTATACTGCTGCTGCGTGTGGATTTGAATATTTTAAGGATTTTAGGATGTAGAAGATACGTGGGTAAGGTACCCGCGGGGCGCTGAAGCACCCTGCATGCAGGGTGCGAAAATTAATTAAATGAAACGGTTTTCACTGTTGATTAGTATCTCTAAGTCCAACTCTTTATTAAAACGTTTTGACTATATTTTATAAATGCGTTTTCTATTTGCAGCGTGAGAACAACTTGTCTAAATCGAGCGACGAAATTATTCTGAACGTTCTATGCTTTGCGGAGGAGATGTTCGCGCGTCGTCGGTCGATTCACCTTCCTTCTTGGATCCTGGATCCTCCCTCAGGATCATCCCTCGTCCAATGGTGGAGGAGTCCACTCCGTCCTTCGTAGGCCCCTTCTCCTGGCTGTGATCCACCCTCAGGCGCGTGGAAGTGGAGGCGCTCCGCCAAGACGCTAGAACGTTGCAGCGCACATGTGTTTCGAGAAAGCGTGGGACCCAGAGAAAATAGGAAAAGACAAGACCTTGTACTTGCCAAAGGCAACTCTTGAGGAAATTTACGACCCTCTTAGAGTGCATGAATAGACAGGATATCTGAAAAGACTTCGTAACTTTTAAGGGCCTTCGTGACTTGGTCGAAAACAACGAATTCGATGTGGTCTATCATAAATTAATCTTTCAGGAAATTTAGAAGTGAAACTATTCTATTCTCTGGATTTCCGGCCTTTTCTCAGCTCGATCACCCACGTCGAGGGGTTTACAATTTAGGCTTTGTCTATTTATATAAGTGTACACACAGATGGTGATTAAATTTCGCTTTTGATTTATAACCATCGGTACAAAAGGTCCTCGACTGATACTCGAGACATATCGATACTACAGACTATCGATAAATATTCCCATAGCAGAGTTGCATACCACTCTAAACATATTCACGTGATAACGTTTCACGTTACACTGCTTTTCACGAGAGACCATACTTAATTCGCGCAGCTCACTAGATCTAGGGAGATTTTTAGTAACGTGTGTGATTCCCCTCTACAGCTTGCTTCTTACTTTGCGATCATATAAATGGTGGACAGAAATATATGACTTACGATAACTGATAAGCGATGATGACATGGTAAAGATATACAATACAATGAAATTCCTATTATTTTGCAAAGAAAAAATTATATGATCGTAAAGTAAGAAGCAAGCTGTAGAGGGGAATCACACACATTATTAAAAATGTCCCTAGACCTAGTAAGCTGCGCGAGTTAAGTATGGTCTCTCGTGAACTGCAATATCGTTAATCCGCAATGGGTATGTTGATTCTCGTTGAATATTGTTTACTTGAAATTATCAAATTGGTCATTTGTCAAAGGTTGCCGACGCCTGAACTAGGATCTTCCTAGTAGAGGAAAAGTTTTTAATTTTGCGCCGCCTCCGAAAAGGTTGAAATGTGTTTAATATCCTATTTAACAATTAAGTAGATTTTATCAATATTCGCGTTGCGGCGCCTGTCTGTTTATTTCGCGGTATCGCGATTCTTCGCGGTAAACATTTCTTCGTGGTTCGTCACGGTACCTATTTTCATACGACGTGGAACGCGGTTCTTCACGGTAAAAATTCTTTCGTGGTTCGTCAGTGTATCTCATCGGTTCGGGAGATCCTGATCTATAATATTCTCGAGTTGGCGATCGTTTCCAAATATTCGGAAGTGGAGAAAACGATCGGTACAGCGATGAATTGCTAGCTTCGCGCGGCTCGTAAGTATTTGTGAATTGCACGCGTCGGGTTTCTGTAAGCGTTTTTCCGTAGCGGACCTTGTCAAGCTCGGATTGTTTAAAAGCACATATTGCCTCGTCGAACACGTGAATTAAAAGATAATTCCGGAATGGACGTACCACGGATCGCAAAGTTGGATTTAAACCACTAACGAAACTATCTGCGGTTAACTCGTCAACGTTTGTTGCAATCAATTATTGCATCGCGTAGATCTTTTACGCGGCCTATATAATCCAAAATATGTTCGCCGAGTTTCATAAAGATATTCGCCATCTCCCGGCGGAGATGATCGACTGTACGTTAAGGCTCGAATACATCTTTCAAACGATTGCAAAGCGCGGTAACCGTATTACAAAATTCATCCTCGATTGTGAGGGATGCGCGTCCGCGTAATCGCGTGATAATCAGACGTGTTACCGTGCGCTCAGCTTGCGGCGTCACGATGTCGCGAGCGCGCCGGCATGCGCGACTGAATTGTAACGCGGTAATATTATTTCCATCAAAAATAGGTATTGTATTGACGGCTCCTTTGAGCGTGAAATCGAAGGATTAGGCGTATTCGCGGCGCGGTGACTCCGGCATCATTTCCATCGACGCGGTTGGAACTCGTTTGGCTAGCGGCGCGTTTACCGTATCTATATCGCGGTGTAATTTTTCTAGTTCGGCGCGTAATGTTTCTTTTTAACCGACTTCAAAACAGGAGGTGGTTAATTAATTCAATCAGTATATATATATATTTTTTTTATATATGTTCACCGATTACTCCGAGACGGATGGACCAATCGAAACGACACCTTTTGCATCTTGTAGAGTGTTTCTACCAATCAGTCGCGCAAAAAAAATATTTTGCACTTTTTCATTCCTAACGACTTTTATCGCAAAAAACGTAATGCTTCATTTACGTTTTTCGGCGTTTATTCTGCAAGGAATGTACCGACCGCGATGAAACCTTTCACATCTAATAGGAGATATATCCCCAATGATCTTACTTGCAAAAATTTATGGAATTTGTTGTTTATTAACCATCTAAATTCGGTCAATTTGTGTTAACGGTTTATAGTTATTAGCTAAGCAATAAAAACGCAAAATCACCTTACGCTATTTTACAAATACTGCACGTTCCACTAAAAAGTGTGAAATAAAATAATTCTTAACAAAAAATACAACCGACTTCAAAATGCGCTAAAATGTGTAAAATAATTTCTAGGTATTTCATTTATACCAATGCTCTACAGCTATTACTAAAACCTATTTAATCGTTAAATAGTATACTAAATACATTTAAACCTTTTCGGAGATGGCGCAAAATTAAAAATACCCGAATATGCCAATAACGGTTTGACTGCGGCGCTGCTTGAATAACTTGGTAATTAATAAGTCGCAAGAAAAAATACGGAACGTTATAGATACGGCTGAAAACATTTGTAATTGTAACGATTGTATCAGAAATTGGCAACAATTCTGATGTACGTGTAGTTAATCTGCAATGGGTATGTTGATTTTCGTTGAATATTGTTAACTTGAAATTATTAAATGGGTCATTCGGTAACCGGCGTGTCATAGGTTGCCAACCCCTGAAGTAGGATCTTCCGAGTAGAAGAAAAGTTTTTAATTCTGCGCTGGTTGAAATGTATTTAGTATATTATTTAACGATTAAATAGGTTTTAGTAATAGCTGTGGAGCATTAATAAATGCAATAGAAATTGTTTTACATTTTTTGATGTGAGTTGTATTTTTTGTTAAAAATTATTTTATTCCTTTTGCGTGTTTAATATTTCTAATTGTTCCGCTTTCACGCGGCGTTCGTTTTCTTTGATACGACGTTCGCGTTCAACTAAATTCTTTCCGTAGGCAATTAGTCCGTCCTCGTGTGCGGCTTCGTCCACTTGTCTTTTCGAGTAGGTATAATGGGTCGCCATTTTATCGGGGGATTGATTTGAAAATGAAAAATAAAATTGAATATCCAACTTACGTATTTATATTTAATTTACTGAGTCTCGAATTTAAATTCGCACCAATTCCATACACTTCTCGGTACGACGTTTGGATCTTCGTGCGGATTGCGCGCGTAATCTAACAATATATTATCGGGAATTTCATGATGTTCAAACACTTTCCGTGCTATTGACGTATCTAAAATGTCTATTGCCTGCAGCGGCGTCATAATTACAGTTTCGGCGTCACTATCGCACAAATCAACTATTTCTATTGTCTCTAGGTTTTTACTTTCACTAGACGAAGAGGATGTGTCGTTAAACGCTGCTGTGGTTCCAGCAGAATCGCGCTTCGGAATATCAATAGCAGTGGATTTCCGTGCGCAGCCTCCTAACGTCGATATGAGCCCTATTTCAGCAGCCAATTTTTCGTACAAAGCTACGCGAGCGGGTTTGTGCACGTTTAATTCGCGGCGGCGCCTTCTTGCTTGAACGTAGCGTCCGGCTCTTCGACCACGTTTTCTCTTCTAATATAAAAATGCTTTTAAATGAAATAATTGTAGAAAAATAAAAACTGAAATGTAACTATTCGATGAACGTACCTTTGCGGCTCTGTCGACTATCGCAGATTTAATGCGCGAGTCGGAGCGCTCTTGGTATTTGTCACCCTTCACTAAAAATGAATTAAATAATATGAAATAATATATCTTAGAAAAATTTTGCTAAAATGACGTAGGAGTAATGCCTTACTTGTTGAATTGAATCTAACACTTTTCACTTTTTATTTTTACCGAGCGTGTACTTTCTTGTGTTCACACTGTAATGGTTAGTCCGAGACTGATGTGCACTGTGGCGCGAGCTCGTCGCTTCTGGTGTGAGAGTTGCGCGCGCAGCTGGACGCGTGGTGGGGACGGTGCGCGCGCAGCCTGCCTCGGAGAGGGGACTGTGCGTCCACAGCCTGTCGCTGTGGAAGGGGACACGCCTGACGCGGCTTGAGCGCATAAACAGGGCCCTATGATTCACAAAATTGGGAAAAATATCTCGTTGGCGAAAACAAAGTAATAAACCGTTCGTTCGGTCGCCGATGACTCGCTCACCGCAACACGATCGTAAACCGGTGACTGGACTTCACGTAAACACGATCGTAAACGAACCTTTCCTAGGCTTTACGAATATTACGTGTACTGTAATCTTTTGAACTCACGTACGATGTTACTGACGACTCCATTCTCCTGATGCCTGGTTTCCACGGTGGTTGCGTGAGATCCCACCGTTGCCACCAATTTATTACGTCCCGGGCCTCGCAGTTAGGTGGCAGCTTTCAGCGCCTCCCGAGTCCGTCCAAATATAGCAATTTTTTAGATCACCACAGTGCGTGACGACCGGGACTACCTGGGATCCGTGGATGATGCCTTCTTTCAGGAAGCTGGTCTCTCGTACACTCACGTATACGTACTGTTACTGACTACGTACTGATTACTTGCGAACCGAAGGTGAGCGATATTTGAATCGAAGCAGGAATGGTAATAACTCGTAGAGAATGTAATAATAAAATAATAAAATATACACTCCACAAAACAATTAAGGGATCACTTCTACAAACCCGAAAAATAGAACGAGATTCAGATGGTTATAACTTTGAGAAAAATGGTCGAATCGATATCGCGGAAAGATCACTTGAAGTTGTGAAATCTCTATTTTCACATCCTCTTTTAAGATTATAGCTACGTTGAATTTTATAAAAGTTATAGTGATATAAGTAGCACTTCGAAAATTTTTAAAAATTTTGTTCAACTTTGTAACGTTGCATGGCAGTAACAAAATATTTTAGCAAGTTACATTTGTATCAATCGGAAGCGACTACCTTCCTATGTAAAATGAGTATTGTTGAATTGTTGTACGATTTTTTATTAGCTGAGTTATTTAATTTTGAAGTAAAAGTCGTCCTTCTAACTTTAACCGCTCCTAGAAAGCGATCAAATCATCGTAGATCATTCAGTAAAGAAGCAGTAGAAGGAGCAGATTTTTTTCTTTAAGATGCATCTCCTGCTTTATCATTTTGATGAACATTTTGATGTACCAGGTCTTTTTAGCGACATGCTTCAAAACCGCACAATTACCATTTTATCTTTAACTTGCTGTATCTCGGCAAAAGATAGTCGTAGTATCATGTTCTTCAGAACATTTTAAAGCAGAGAATTTGCCGGTTCGATTGAGCTCTAAACGAATGCACTGTGATAATCTTTTAGTGAAGCGGCCGGCATCGCTTTCGTTATTATTTAAACAACACTATTGTCTTAGGAAAGTGTTGCCGGCCGCCTTACAACGCGCCGCGGCATGTATTCTGTATAATGATCGGACATTTTATAAATTGACCGAAACTTGTTACGGACATTTTACAGAATGTCTTCTCGAACGGGCATTCTACACAATGCCCGGTCATTTTACAAAATGCCCACGTTAAACACATTGCCCGTTACAAACGATTTCATCGCGATTGGTTCATTCCTTGCAGAATAACACCAAGAAATAAGCTTTTTGCTATAACAATAGTTATTAACAATAATAAATTCCATACATTTTTGGAAGCGAGCTCATCGCGGAAATATCTCCGATTAGATGTGAAAGGGTTCATAGCGATCGGTACATTCCTTGCAGAGTAGCGCTAAAGAATAGGAGATTGCAATAACAACAGTTACTATATATGTACAGGTAGATCTCGATTAGTGCGAATAATAAATCCCAGAAATTGTTCGCATTATTTGAATTCGTACTATTCGAATATTTGAAATATAGTAATTGTTTCTTAGTTACAGAAAATATACAATTAAAGATTTGAAATATACCTTTCATACGTACATTATGAAATTATTATAATAGCATAAACATATTTATTATTTTTTAAAGTACTTCAACAGTGTTGAATGCACTTTCTTCTGCTTTTTCATATATCCGTATATGTGATGATGAACCCGCAGTATTTTATCCAAGTCTCTGTTAACTTGTATGCTCCGATCCATGTATGGATTGAAAAAAGCCTCGCAAACCTCGCATTAACTGAATTTTTGTTCGCATTAGATGCGACCTGGTATCATTTTAAAATTCGCACTAAACCGAATATCGCACGATGTGAACTAGCATTAATCGAGACCTACCTGTATACTGGTTTTTGGTCGACGCGATATGTGTATAGAAACAGTAGAGACCGGCGATTGCATTCTGACCCATACACTGCCAGAGTAGACGGTAGAATACACGTAGGCATACGTAGAATTCAATGTAGTAGTAACAATAGTTTTTCACGAATATCTCGGAAACTAAAGCTATCAGTTGATTATGCATAATAAAAAAGTTCTTCAGCATCATACCCCCGAAAACATATTAAAGGGTCATTGAAATCAACTTATGTTGAGATTAGAAGCTTTCTGTTTTTTGTAATAATAATCCGTGGCAATGATAAAATGCAAATGTTTTTTTAACAGGGCCAATCGGGAGACATACTCTATCGGATGCAGAAAGTTTCGTTCCGGCTAGACCATCCGTCTCGTCGTAATCGGTGAACATATATAAAAAAAAGTAGAAAAAAATATACTGTACAAGATGCAAAAAGTTTCATTCCGATTGGTCCATTCATCTCGGAGTATTCGGTGAACAAAGCCAAGAAAAAAAAAAAAAATAAAAAAAAATATACTGATCTAATTGAGTATCCTTCTCCTTTTCGAAGTCGGATAAAAAGCAAGAGATGCATCTTAAAGAGAAAAATCTGCTTTTTCTACTGTTTCTTTACTGGATGATCTACGATGATTTGATCGCATTCTAGGAGCGGTTAAAGTCAAAAGGACGACATTTACTTCATAATTAAATAACTCAACCAAAAAAAATCGTACAACAACCAAAAAATATTGATTTTACATAGGAAGGTAATACATAGGAAGAAATGCAACTTGCTAAAAAAATTTTGTTAGTGCCATGCTAAGTTACAAAGTTGAACAAAATTTTTAATAATTTTCGAAGTGCTACTTATATCACTACCACTTTTATAAAATTCAACACAGCTAAAATCTTAAAAGAGGATCTGAAAAATAATTTTTATCACAAAAAAAAATCCGACTTCGAAATGCACTAAAAAGTGTAAAATAATTTCTATTTCATTTATACTAGTATTCCACAGCTATTAATAAAATCTACTTAATCGTTAAATAGGATACTAAATACAGTTCAACCTTTTCGGGGGCGGGGCAAAATTAAAAATACCCGAACATACGATCCTGCCAATAACGGTTTGATTGCGGTATGGCAAACATGGTAATTAATAAGTCGTAAGAAAACAAATTCGGAACATTATAGATACGGCAGAAAACATTTGTAATTGTAACGATTGTATCAAAAGTTGGTAGCACTTCTGATGTACATGTATACTGCATTTCACGAGAGACCATACTTAATGCGCGCAGCTCACTAGGTCCAGGGAGATTTTTAATAACAATTGTGATTCACCTCCACAGCTTGCTTCGTATTTTGCGATCATATAAATGGTGGACAGAAATATATGACGTACTGTTACGTCGCAACTGAGGGAGGCAATTAAAACTACACGGTATCACTTCCACACGCGTTCGTTTTATTAAATTAATAATTGAATTTCGGACAATGGTTCAAATCTCGCACCAGAACTAACTATTATTAAGCGATCGTGACCCTTGCTATGAAGTCACCTGGCGCAGAACGGCCGCACGGGTGTGGTTTTTTATTGTATATATGAATATGTTGCGCAGTTTCGTTCGCGAAGAAGCAGCCCAGTCGTCGGATTCATATGTTTCTATGTGTCATCAGTTTCTGGGCTGCCGTACCGTGGGAATAGGGAATGCAGGGTGTTATCTCTGCTAGTCAAGCTAGCAGAGGTTCTCGCGTAACAGTACGATAACTGATAAGCGATGATGACATGGTAAAGATACACGATACAATGAAATTCCTATTATTTTTCAAAGATAAAATTATATGATCGACAAGTAAGAAGCAAGCTGTAGAGGGGAATCACACACGTTATTAAATGTGTCCCAAGACCTAGTAAGCTGCACGAGTTAAGTATGGTCTCTCGTGAATTGCAGTATAGTTAATCCGCAATGGGTATATTGATTCCCGTTGAATATTGTTTACTTGAAATTATCAAATGAGTCATTTGTCACAGGTTGCCGACTCCTGAACTAGGATCTTTCAAATAGAAGAAAAGTTTTTAATTTTACGCCGCCTCCGAAAAGGTTGAAATGTATTTAGTATCCTACTTAACGATTAAGTAGATTTTATTAATAGCTTATTTTACACTTTTTAGTGCATTTCGAAGTCGGATTTTTTTTTGTTAAAAATTATTTTATATATACCTTATACTTTCCAATACATTCTATACATTCTCATATTTTATATATTTTGTACTTTTCAATATTTTGTATATCTTATTCTTTTCTATACTATATGTATCTCATTATATTTTGTAACGTGAAACGTTATCACGTGAATATGTTTAGAGTGTTATGGCGACACTGCCATGGGAATATTTATCGATAGTCTGTAGTATCGATATGTCTCGAATATCAGTCGAGGACCTTTTGTATCGACGGTCATAAATTAAGAGCGAAATTCAAACATCATCTGTGCGTACACTTATATAAATAGACAAAGATTAAATTGTAAACCCCTCGACGTGGGTGATCGAGCTGAGAGAAGGCCGGAAGTCCAGAGAATGGAATAGTTTCACTTCGAAAATTCCTAAAAGACTAATTTATGATAGACCGTAGCCAATTCGTTGTTTACGACCAAGTCACGAACGGTCCTTAAAAGCTACGAAGTCTTTTTCGATATCCTGTCTTTTCATGCACTCTAAGAGGGTCGTAAATTTCCTCGAGAGTTGCTTTGGCAAGTACAAGGTCTTGTCGTTTCCTAATTTCTCTGGGTCCCACGCTTTCTCGTAGCACATGTGCGCAGCAACGTTCTAGCGTCTTGGCGGAGCGCCTCCACTTCCACGCGCCTGAGGGTGGATCAGGGCCAGGAGGAGGGGCCTACGCAGGACGGAGTGGACTCCTCCACCATTGGACGAGGGATGATCCTGAGGGAGGATCCAGGATCCACCAAGGAAGGGGCATCGACCGACAACGCGCGAAGATTTCCTCCGCCAAGCGCAGAATCGTTAGAATGATTTTGTCAGTCAATTAGACAAATCCTTCTCACGCGCTAAATCTAAAGCATTGTAAACATCAAGTTACCAGTCAGCCTAAATAAACCTTTAAAATATTAAAGTACAGTAACCGATAATAATAGTTTGTTATTTTCATCCGCGCCTTGCGAGCGGAGCGCCTCCGCGCTCCACGGATTGTCACACCTACGCCTTAATTCCCCAAATTTCCCTATCTTCCGCGAACGGACACGCAACCATTTTAATATTTTTATTTTTGTTGACAAAATTCCCCAAATCATCGCAGACCAGACGAAGTTGGCAACGAAAGTATTTCGTTGGTGCGTCGTTACCGATAGCGGCAGCACCTCTCGGGCCCTTTTCGTCCACGCGATCCCCTCTCCACGCCGTAGCCGGCACGATCGACGCCATGATCGATTTGCTTTCTTCTTGGATGATCGATCAACGCAAAACCACGTGCTTCGCCGTCCACGCGCTTTATGTTTCGCTAGACGCAATTCTGACCACGCGACGTGTGAATTTCAGTCCGCGCCGCGACTCATACAATTTTGTCCACGTTTTAGTATAAGTTTATTAATAATACGTCAGTTTTTTCGCTTAATAACTCTGTGTACTCGTTGTATTGAACTCTCGCGTGAACGCTAGTGATTTGTGCATCACCTGTTGTATATATTTCTTCTTTTGTACATTCTTGTTGTGTTAAATATATTGTTAATTGTTACACAAGGCTCGTGTTTCGTTTCTGTCCGCTCTGACCACGCAACTTTTCCGAACAATTTTATATATATAAGTTTATTCCGCACCCCTTTCAGGCTTGCGGGGCGCTTTATGGTTAGCGTTCCCAACCTTACATCTAATTGTTTCTGTTTGTACAGAGTGTAAAAAAATTAAATGTCACGACCTATATGGGGTGATTCTACACCTCTGGATCGGTGGAGATCTGTCAAAGAAAGCGACCGCAAAATTGACTTTGACCCCTAATTTCAAGGTCAAATTTTTTTATTGGCTTATCGTATAGTGCTCATCGAGGGGATAAAAAGTCTGAAAGGAACTATGTGCCGGAAATCAACCCTTCCCCTAGAAAAAAGCCGTCAAATTTTCCCTATACGTTAATGCATTAAACGTTGAGTCGCGCTGTACCCCTCTCCAGTGATCTTGGCGCATCAGTCACGCGTATCGCTTGAATGTCATGCTATAGGACAATTTTTGAATTTCAATCACAATGCCAGCATATAGGAAGGGTAAATTCTAAGAGAGCATATTTAAAAAGACAAAATAACTACTGCGTTTAAATGAAAATAAAAATGAATTTAATCGAAACATTCGTAATATAATATAATATGATACAAGTATGATAAGTAATATAATATATAAATAACAATAATAAAAGTAATACAATAATAATGAAAATATAATAGAAAAGAATTATATAAAATAATAGTATAAAAAGTAATAATATATGATATAACATAATATAAAAAATAATATGTAATATGATAATAAATATAATAAGGTAATAAATGTGATAAAATAATTTAATTAAAATAATTTAATTATCTGTTGACGGACGGGTGTGCTATTGACGAAGCGGGACGAAATTTTTATTTTCATTTAAACGCAGTAGTTATTTTGTCTTTTTAAATATGCTCTCTTAGAATTCACCCTTCCTATATGCTGGCATTGTGATTGAAATTCAAGAATTATCCTATAGCATGATATTCGAGCGATACGCGAGACTGATGCGCCAAGATCACTGGAGAGGGGTACCGCGCGACTCAACGTTTAATGCATTAACGTATAGGGAAACTTTGACGGCTTTTTTCTAGGGGAAGGGTTGATTTCCGGCACATGGTTCCTTTCAGACTTTTTATCCCCTCGATGAGCACTATACGATAAGCCAATAAAAAAATTTGACCTTGAAATTAGGGGTCAAGGTCAATTTTGCGGTCGCTTTCTTTGACAGATCTCCACCGATCCAGAGGTGTAGAATCACCCCATATAGGTCGTGACATTTAATTTTTTTACACCCTGTACATGTAACTTACATCCTAACCCTGCTTTTCCTTATACATCTTTCTTCAGTTCCTGCTTCGCCTTCAATACCCTACCCTTCTTTATTCTTAATCTTACAATACTGCTTAACTCTATCCTATAAGTCTTATCTCTCTTAGCGTAAATCAAAAGCAAAACTCAAAAACAAAAATAAAACGTAAACTAAAATCACAGCAACATAAATCATAATCATAAATCACTCGACATACATATTGCATCGTAGCTCAGGATACCTTCCTTGTGCATCCTATTTCAAACTAAAGACTGAACCAAAATCAAATACAAAAACAACCAAACCTAGATTGCCACGAGTCCATAAGTGAAAAGAACACACAAAAAAAGAAATAATAACTTTGCACTGTTGCTACTGTTATAAAATTACGCAAAGATAATGCACTTATGCAGATAGTATATAATATAACAAGAAGAAAATGTAGAGCATGTTTCCAGGTTTCTCTGCTCTCCTTTCTCTTTTATTTCTTTGGCACGCTCTTCCATTTTCCTTCCTCTTCATCCCATTTCCATTCTGTCCCGTCAACCCAAATCCTCCTGTTGGTGAACTCCACCTTTTTCCCTTTGCTTTTCTCTTCTCTAGTTTTCTCTTTGATCCTCCATTTCATCTTTCTTTCTTCACATGAAAGATCTTCCTCTACTACGACTCTCCATCTTTCCCATATCTCATCCTTCTTCCATAGCATCGTGTCCTTGTCTTCTTTATCATCCAATTCCATCAGGATGAGCTTTCGCCCCCCTTCCCCTACAGTTCGGTTGTCTTTCTTATTTCTGCCTTTTTTCCCATCTCCATCTGCAGTATAATTTTTGCTCTCCTGGCTCTTTCTTCTGTGCTGTTGCCTCCTACTCCTTTCCAAACGAGGCTTCTTTTCCTCCTCTCTCTTCTCTCACTTTCTACTTTTCTTTTCCATCTCTCCCTCCAGTCCTCTTCACCCTCGTTCTTGCTCGCACCTTCACTCTCTTCATTTCCACCTTTTTCCTCCTCCTTGTTTTTTCTCCTTTTTGTCTTCATCTCCCCCTCTTCTGTTTCCGGTACCACTGCTTCTTCTTGCTCATCACTATTTTCTCCTTTTGCTTTATTTCGCTCTTCTCGTCTTTCTTCGGCCTTTTTCTTGTGTCGGTGATCTTTCTCTTGATTCCGCTCGTTGCCATTTCTCAGTTCTTCCTCTTGTGTCCCTTTTTCTTTTCCCGGTCCTTTTCTCTCTACTTTCACCTGCTCTTCAGTGTCCCTTCTTGTTCTTCCTCTTCTCAGTTCTTTCTTTATCTCCTCCACATTTTCTCCTATCTTTTTCAATTCTTTCAGGACCTCTTCTCTCCATTTGCTTTCCATTTTCTGCTACTCCCTCCTTCCTTCCGCTTCACACACCCTTTTCTTTTCTCTCTTACGCTTTACTGTTCTATATGTCCGTTTTATCTTACTTTCGCTTTCTTCGACGTTTTCTTTAGTCTATTCCGCACTGTTTCCGTCTCTTATCTTGCTCTAGTAATGCCTGTTTTTCTTGCTCTGCGGTTCACCTGTTGCGTAGTTCAGCAGTCTATTGCCACGTGCTTTTTCACTGGTGCCAACCGCTTTTCTGCTTACTGGTGGCGCACTCCCCATCTACTTTCACCTTGCCTCTTCCGTTCGTCGTAAGTGCTGCCGTCAGTGTTAACGACGCCTCTCTTCTCTGCCACTTAGTTTCTGCTTTCTTCTTCTTCCCCTTCCCCTCTCCTTCTGGCTTCTTCTTCCTCTATCACCCACGCTTCCCCTACGCCTTCTTCTCCCAGTAGCTCTTGCACTTTCTCTTGCCACCCTTCTTTTCTTTCTTCGCTCGAGCTGCACCTTTCCTATACGTGCTCCCATGTTTCCTCCTCCCATCCACATTTTCTGCACTTTCTTTTCTCCTCGCTCTCCCAGTATCTGGCCTCGTTTATTTCGTTCCCCAATCTGAATCTGGCGATTCGTCTCCACCTCGCTTCCTTCCATCCTTTTTCTAGGTATTTAGGTAATCCGGGCTTCTTAATCATCTTATACCACTTATTGTAACTCGATGACTTTATCTTTTTCCATCTCTCTTTTTCCTGCTGTTGCATGTCTACCTCTTCCATTTCCTTGTAACCCATTTCCCCCTCCCTTCTTTTTCTTTCCCGTGGTTCAATTCGCACTCCTCTTTCGACTAAGAATGTTTCCCTTTCTTCCTCCCATTTCTTTCTGTCCGGGCTTCTTTGTTCTCCTTTAATCATTTCCTCCCGGCATTCCCTTGCTAGCTCCCCTCCTCTCCCCTCCCACAACTTTCTTTCATATCCCTAAGCCAGCTTTCCCGCTTTAGTCCTCATCTTCGATCTTTGCAGCTCCTCCCTCATCATGTACCCCGGGGTGCACCAATCCACTCTTAACGTCCACCTCAGGAATCTCTCCTGCAACCCTTCTATTTCTTTCCTATTTTTTCCCTCCACTCCCACACTTCCGCACCATAAGCTATTACCGGCCAGACCAGCCTGTCCCACAGCCATAACCTCCTCTTCCAATCCTTTCCAAATCTTCTTTTCCCGATTCCCCAAATTTGTCTCATCACTATTCCTGCCTTTCCCACCCTGTCCTTTATATGCATTTCACTCCCTCCATTTCTTCTTATGGTGTACCCTAGGTATTTGAAGGCTTTCACCTCCTCCATTTTCTTTCCCTTCCACAGCCAATCCCTTTTCTTTCACCTCCCTCCGCCTTTCCTAAACCTCATCACTTTTGACTTTTCCCGGTTTAGCTCCAGCTTCTTTTTGTCTAGATACCCTTCTAACTTCCTTATCATCACCGCCATCCTCTTCTTTCTCCGCCAGCAGCACTACGTCATCGGCATACCCCAGGGTGTATATTTTCTTTTCCCCCAGCTTAATTCCCCCTATTCTTCCTTTTCGTATCTGCTCTTCCATGTCCGCCGTTAATACGTTGTACAGTAACGAACTCAGTGGGCACCCCTGTCTCAGGGCTATCGCTGTCCAGAACGGTTCCGTCATTCCTTCGTTTGTCCTCACCTTGCTCTTGGTTTCTCTCAGTAGCTCCTTTCTTCTTTCTCTCAGCCCTTTTCGGGCTCCTCTTTCTCTTAATACTTCCAACAGCACACCTCTGTCTACCGAGTCAAAAGCTGCTTTCAGGTCGATAAACCAGGCGACCACCTTCCCTTTTGCCTTCCTTACTTGCCTGTTCACCATGTAGTTCAGCACATATATATTATGCATGGTGCCCATGCCTTTTCTGAAACCTGTCTGATTTGGGGGCAACAGCCCTTTTCGCTCCACCTCCTCCGTTAGTCTCTCCGTAAGCACTGCCGCATATATCTTATACGCTGTTAGCATCAGGGTCACCCCCCTGTAGTCTCCGGCCTGGTTCCCGTTTCCCTTCTTTTTGATCGAGACTGTTATCCCCTCTTTCCAACCTTTTGGCCAGCCCTCTCCCTTCCATACCCTGTTGCAAATCTCCCTTGCTCATTCCACTACTTGCTCCCCTCCATATTTCCATACTTCGTTTGGGATTTCATCCCCTCCTGGTGCTTTTCCGTCCTTTAGTTTAGCCACCACCTTTCTTATCTCTTCCCTGCTGATTTCTTCTTCCTCGACCTTCTCCGCCTTTTTTTTGCCTCCCAAAACTACCTTTTCCTCCGTTCCCCCAGCAGATTCATGAAATGGTTTTTCCATTCCTCCTCCTTTATACCTTTTTGCGCCTGTCCTTTCTTCTTCCTCTCCCTGTTTACTATTTTCCATACGTCTTTGTCCGTTCTTACCCCCTCCACCTCTTTTATGAACCTATCATTTTCTTCTTTCTTTTTAGCTTCACATAACTTGCTGTACTCCTTCTTTGCCTTTCTGTATGCTTCACCCTCCTCTCTCCCTCTTCTCCATTCTCTTAGTACCTTCCTTGTTTCTTTTTTCTTCTCCATGCACTCTTCGTCCCACCATCTTTTAGGCTTGTCTTTGCTGCTCTTTCTGCTGCCTCTCTCCAATCTATTTCTAAATTCTTCTAACATGAGGTCCATATCCTCATCTAGACTCCCTTCCTTCGATTTCCTCCATGTTATTTCCTCTCTGAATTTCTTCCTCCCTTGCTCCGTCCAGTCACCTTTCGGAGTAACTTTCCTTTTCTTTTCTTCCTCTCTCCTTTCCTGTCTTCCCCCCTTTAGCTTTACTATTAGGGGATGGTGATCTGGGTCTATCCTGTCCCCTACTTCCATTCTCTTAATTCTCTCCCTCCCTTCTTCTTCCGCTATAACATAGTCTATTACAGTGTCCCCTCTGGTCCCTGTGTATGTAAATTCTCCTTCCTCGTCCCCTTCCACGCTCCCGTTCATAATTGACCATCCCGTCTTCCCTAGGTTCTCTAGCAGCATTTTTCCCTCCGTATTTATTTTCTTGTCCTTGGATTTTCTTCTCCCCCCTTCTTCCTCCTCTTCTACCGCCACACCACCTCCTCCTTCTTCTCCTGTCCTCGCATTGAAGTCTCCCCCTATTATCGTTGTCCTCTCTCCACCAATTTCCTCCAACCAGGTTCTCAGGCTTTTAACCTTTGTGTCCATATCTCCGTTTACATATACCCCCACTATCCTCCAGTTGTCTTTCCCACCCTTTACTTCTGCCACCATTATGCCATCTTTGTTCCCCTCTCCCCAGATCCTTCCTTCTGACCCCATTATTTCTTCCTTCACCCCCATCATCATCCCTCCCATTGCTCTTCTTTTTTTGTTCCTTCTCCTTGCTGGCTGTGCCTCCCACGTGTTTCCTTTTGGCAGCCCTTCTTTCACCTTCTCCCGTCCCTTCTCCTCCAGCCATGTCTCCATTAGCACAACCACGTCCCATTTCTTTACTGTTTCCCAGAAATCGGCATCTTTATTTCTGACCCCGGCGCAATTCCAGAAGCCTATTGTCCATCCCTCATCTTTTTTTTCTCTATTTCCTCTTGCACTGACTTTTGCACTCTCTCATCTATCTCGTTCCAGCCTACGCTTCCTGTTTCTTTCCTTTCCAGCTCCTCTATCTTCCTCTTCATCTTCCTCAACGAAACCTTTTGCATCTGGTAGAGTATGTCTCCCGATTGGTCCAGTTAAAAAAACATTTTGCATTTCTTCATTCCGAATGCTTTTTATTGCAAAAAAACGTACTATTTCATGTACGTGCGGCGTACGTTTGCCGATTACTCAGAGACGGATGGACCAATCGGAACGAAACTTTTTGCGTCCTGTAGAGTATAACTCCCTATTGGTCCCGTAAAAAAAATATTTTGCATTGTTTCATTCCTAACGACTATTTTTTCTAAATGTATGTTCGCCGATTACTCCGAGATGGATGGACCAATCGGAACGAAACATTTTGCATCTTGTAGAGTATTTCTTCCACTTGGCCCTGTCAAAGAGACATTTTGCATTTTTTCATTGCTAACGATCTTTTTGCAAAGAACGTAATGCTTGATTTATATTTTTCACCGATTACCGCGAGACGGATGGACCAATCGGATCAAAAATTTTGCATCTTGTAGAGTATGTTCCCGATTGGTCTCGCAAAAATATGTTTGTATTTTTTCATTCCTAACGAGTTATATTGCAAAAAATGTAATGCTTCATTTATATCTTCTGGCATTTATGCTGTAAGGAATGTATCGTTGGCGATGAAACCTTTCATATTTAGTAGGATATACAGGGTGTCAGGCGACTACCTCGACAGCCGAAGAGGGATGATTGCTAAGGGGATTCTAAACAACTTTTTCCTTTGCCAAATAGTTGGTTAAGGCTTGGTTTTCGAGTTAATAACAGAAACCACCGACCAATACGAGCGCGTATAGAGCGCAGTCCCAGAGACCACAGTGTCGGGTACGAAAACGGGACCTGACGTAGGTCGCGAACGAACGGTTTGGCACCCCGTTGGCATAGCACAATAAAAAAACTGAACTGGTAGAACATTTTTAGTCGTTGTTTAGAATGAATACGGAATCTAATCTCTTATCGCCTGTCATAATGTAAAAAAGGAAATTCTAAGGATTCTAAATAACAAATCAAAATGTTTGAGGTGGAATAATTAATAAACGTTTGAATTGGAGGCTATGCTAATGATGCAAAATTTGAAAACAATTTAATTGAAACTTACCCATTCGTTTCTAAATTAACTTGCTACGCTGAAAGCAAATAATTCCCATTAGGTCACTGTGTCGATTCTGAACATTCGACGAGGAAACACCTCGCCTATTATTCATACATACGTGCAATAAATGAGGGGAGTTCACTGGCCCGATCATGAAAACTGCTGTTCTACCGAACGTGTTTCCTCGTTTCCCAGTGACAATTATCTGCTTTCAGCGTAGTAGGTTAATTT